CTTATTTCTGGCCAATGATTACCAGTGCCATCATTATTTTTCAACATCATTACCATCATAATTATTTATATTGATTGTTATCATAAATACTGAACTATTATCCTGAATCACGGCAAATTATATCCCAATTATTTCTTTTCTGGCATTCACCAATTATTCGCGTAGAATTCATACAATTAAGTAAGTTTTTATATAGATCTTTAAGATTAGTACAAGGTGTGTCTATATAGGCCTATGTAAGTTAATCAGCGAATAACTACCGAATACTACTTATTGATACGTCAGTTAGTAGTTCACAACGCACCAATTGGGTACTTCTAGCCATGAATGCGATCAATTTTGTTTAATAAGTATTTTGGATAGTTAGGTGAAGGTTGTAGGAGTAATGATGTGTAACTAATACCTGTGTCAAGAAGGGTCAATATGCGTTAACATTCTTGAAAATATAGACCTAACAGCGACCAACTGCATTTCCGCAAACAAAAACAACTATAAATAAGCGTTTCTTTCGAGAGAATAGTCTGTCGTGTACCAAAGACTCCACACCTAAAATGTTCATCACCATGAAGTACAATAGACTAGGCTTGATTGAAAATCTAGCAGATAGCTTTCAAGTCAGAATTATAGGCCTATAAAAAATGAACATGGCGACTAGAAATAAATGTTTATATTTTGAGGACTTAGCTATCCCAGGGGGGAAAAAGGCTTGGCAACCCAAAGCGAAAGTATGGCAATCGCAAGGAAAAAATGCATGACAATCCCAAGGGGAGAAAAGGCATGGCAACCCCAGTGAAAAAAGCCTTGAAAATATCACGGCTGAAAATGGTGGGTGTGAGTGTTTAATCATGGGTTGTCCGGTGTCATGGGCGCAAGCATTCTGTAAGTTTCTTACATCGCAACTGCCTTTTGCATGTGTTAGGAAAACATTGGAGAGTTTTCTTTGTGATTCACAATGGCATTTACTTGTTTATTGATGCAATATCTAAATGTGTAAGGGTGCGTGTGCGTGTTTGTGTTCGCGTGTGGGTGTGGTATGTATGTATGTATGTATGTATGTATGTATGTATGTATGTATGTATGTATGTATGTATGTATGTATGTATGTGAATCTCCCCCAACCGCCATATGTGCGAAAGAGAATATATAAAAACATATTTACTGTTTTCTACTTAAAAAAGATTGTTTGAAGTGACTGCCCCGAGGTACCACTCTTGTTACAGCGCCAAATACGTCCTTTCGTGCTTGCATGTTGAAGGTTCGGGGTAAATGCTGTTTGTAATTGTTATTGTTGTTTGTACTGGTATTATTGTTATCATTATTGTTTTCTTTGTAATTATCTTCATATTCGTTTTTGTTATTTTTATTGGGATTATCATCAAAATTATCTTTATTGTTGTCATTATTATATTATTTTTATTATGGTTATTAGCATTACCATTATTAGTGGTAGTAGCATTGATTATAATTATGATCATTGTCATTATCATTATTATTGTTACCGTTACCATCATTATCATTATTACTAGCATTATTAGTATAATTATCCAGTAATAATATTATCGTTATTGTTATCTCCATCATCAGACCTAATGCTACTGCTACTACTATTAATTATTATTATTGTTATTATTATTATTATTATTGTTATTATTATTGTTATTATTATTATTATTATTATTATTATTATTATTATTATTATTATCATCATTATCATTGTTATTATTGTTATTATTATTATTATTAGTATAGTAGTATCATTTATTGACATTATTATTGTTATTATTATTATTATTATTGTTGCTATTGCTTTTATTGATGATGTTTTTATTAATATCAATGTTATTGTCTATTATCATTATTGCTATTAATAATTTTCTTCTTGTCCTTATTTTTGTTTTCTCATTAATATTGTTATTGTTAGTGGTATTCTCCTTATTGCTATTACCAATACTTTTACTATTGCTATTGATATTGTAATTATTATCGTTATTATTACTGTTATCATCATCATCATCATCATTGCTAATATCATTATTTTATTGTCATCATCATTGTTATTTTAGTTATCGTCGTTATTATTATTGTTGTTATATTATAGCTGTTGATATTGGTATTATGATTATGATTATTATTGCTATTATTATTATTGTTATTATTATATCTTAACTGTTATTACTATCATCATTATCCTTATTACTATTGCCATTGTGTTTTTATATGATTATTATTTCTTATTATTATTTTTATCATCTTTGTCATCTTTGTCATCATTATCATTTTGTCATTGTTATTGATATTATCATTTTTACTATTATTATTATTGTTGTTGTTGTTTTAATTATCATTGTTATTATAATAATTATCATCACAATTTTAGTATTGCTAGTATCATCATGATGTATCAGTTATTATTATTATAATTATTGTTATTATCATTACCGTTATTTTTGTTATTGTTGATAATGATATTAATACTTATCTCTCAATAACTATCATTACCATTATTTTTATTATTATTATTATTATTGTTATTATTATTAGTATGGTCAATGATGATATTATTATTATTTATCATCATTATGATTATCATTATTAATATAATCAGTATTATTATTATTATCCTCATTATTACCACCTTGATCATCGTCATCGTCATTATTTTTCTATATTATTATTATCATTATCTTTATTATTAGTAATTGTTATTTTTATTTTGATCCTTATAATTGTGATTATTTTGTCATTGTTATTAC